TCTACATGTTCATGCAAACCCTGGTCAACAAGTGATTATTCAAGGTAGATTGTTAGACTGTGACAATTATATTGCCACATCTGAAGACCACATAACAGAAGTGTATTTTGTACAGATTTAATTTGCTTGCTCTGTTTTCTTCTTCAAAAGTAACGTAATCAAGTCTTAAAATACTTGGTGAAAGGCAGTGGCAATAGTTTTTTTGTTTGTTTGTTTGTTTTTTAATTATATTTGGTGGCTTCTGGAAGGTTTGTATGAGTTCTAGTCTCTTTCAAAATGTCATTTTTATGAGCTCCATTCTTCCGGCAAAGCTGACAAGTGTGTACTCAAATCCTCAAGAACTTTTATGTAACATCATAGTAATGACAGTGTTCTTAAGACTTAGAATTTACTGTACAGTCACATATTAGGACAGATGGATAGAAGAATGCATTTTTAAGGGGCCATTGAAAGAACTCTGGAAATAATATACCTCCTCTTATTGGAAATAAATTAGTTCTAGCCTGTGAAAATAAACCTCTTCTTTAGGAGAGGTGCAATAGGTTAGAGTGATATCACAGACTTTTAATTCACCAGTATTCATCCAGGATGATGGACAGTTCTCACTTTAGTTTTCTTTGGAGACATTCTGTCAAGTATGCTTTTTTTTTTTTTTTTTTTGTTTTTTTTTTTTTTTTTTTTTTTTTTTTTTTTTTTTTTTTTTTTTTTTTTTTTTTTTTTTTTTTTTTTTTTTTTCTTTTTCTCCTTTTTTTTTTTTTTTTTTTTTTTTTTTTTTTTTTTTTTTTTTTTTCCCTACGAAAAGCTCATGACTTAGTGACCTAATTGATACTCCAGCTCTCCGTCTTTTCAGTCTTCATTTTGGGTAACATATTTTGTGTTTTTTTTTTTTTTTTTTTTTTTTTTTAATCAGGTAATTATAATTCCATGTAATTCACTCCTGGTATGATGCAACTTGCTTAGTGTTAGCTATTAAACTGAATATCTTGCTGGTCATCTGTATTATCCCTGCAATTATTGAAGGAAGCCAGCTCCAGGAGCAGAACAAACCTAAAGCTATATGGTCAAAATGGAGTGAATCTTGTGTAGGTACCTGTATCTGTTATATTAGTAAAGGAACCTTAGTTGATTAGGTCAGCTTGCAGATGTTTATCTATAGGCGCACTGAAACCTACCTTAAAACCAGGGGGGCAAACAGAGAGACCCAATTCTAATTTCTGGGAAAGAGCTACATTCTTTGAGGATGAGGACTTATTTGCTGTTGATAAATTTTTAAAGTAGCACTTATTTTTTAACATCACAGCTATGTGGTGTTAAAAGGTATGATTAATGCATGAACTGAAATGTGTAATATCACTTCTATAGAAAGTGTAAAAATTTTAAGTATATGATCTCTCACTTCAACTGGAATTAAAGAATAAATAAATAGACATATCTGTCTGTAATCTGTTGGATAACAGATTACTCTAAATTGTGTAGTCTTAAAATTAAATGTTTATTTTTACATATCATATAGGAAAACAATTATCGTCTACTGCCTAGATCTCAGAGTGCCCTGTAACAGATCATCACAAGCATGATATTTTCATAGTTTATAACAGGATAAAGCTAATGATTTTAGAACAGAAGGAAAAGAATTCAGCTTAGAGTTGTGCAGATGTCTATGGTTATCAAGTATTTACAGTTGTCCTTTTGCAGCTCTGAACTCGCTGTAAAAAGACAATTGTTTGTTTAGATGCAAAATACAATATTTTGCTCAAATTTTGATTGATTTAAAGGCCATTTATTACCATAAATACAGAATTTCTCAGAAGCAACTCCCATTATTAAGACTGAAACCAAGATTTTGTCATAATTTCTATTTTAAATTTTATATTTTGACTGGTATAGGATGTGCTTTTATTGCTGTGACAATGCAGAAACAATATGTTTGACCAGTTCTGACCATGGTTCAGATTACAGAGAAGTCCTTAGCGCCACGTTTAAGAAGCTGCTATAATTAATTCCATGGCAAGAGTCTGATTTATGTTTCTTAATCAGATAGCAGAGAATTGATGAAAATGCATTTTGTAACAGACATCTTGTCTGACAACATCATAAAAAATGGAAATGTTGATTCTAGTAGCTGCTGTGTGGAGGCACATTTCTTGCATCAAAAAAATGAATAAATTAATAAAATAAAATAAAAAATCACAAGGTTAGTTTTCCTGGGCATCTATAACTGAGATATTTGACTTAGATATGAATTCTGCAATTATATAGATTTATTTGGGTTGAGAAGTATCAGACTCTGTATATGTTGTAATGATTATACATATGATGTGGATTTGCTGCTCACAAGAGATGCTGGCTTACAAAAAGAATAAAATGCGGAATTAAGGCTGCTTCTGAAATATAATGTGTTACATTTAAGAGATTAAATATAAGAATGTTATGCCTCCATTTCTTCCTTTCATTTTTTTTTTTCTTTCAATATTTCTACTTAAAATTTTAAGCATGCTAACAGTTGAAGAAAATTTTTATGCTAATGACATTGATTAAAAACAGGATCTTCTCTATTTCTCAGTGTAAAGCCCCCCTAAACGAAGTAATTAGATTTGCAAAAGTTTGACTATCTGTAGCTGAAAATGTGAGTACTTCTGAAAAGTTGACATGGAAAAGCAGTAGCTCCACACTGGATTTTGTGTGCCAAATCTTCAGAGTTCTCCTTTTGTATTGCTTGCTCTTCTTAGACAGTATTTAAGAACTTTTATAAGCTCACCTTTTAATGTTTCTGAAGAACAACTACCTTTTCGTACATCAGATTTTCAAATACTGTGTAATTTTGGTACAATAAAAAAGTCGTATGCAACATACTCTGCAACTTAAATTAAAAACTACTTCAAAATGTGAACAAACTTTTTTTTTTGTTATTTTCCTATTTTTTAAAAACCAAAAGTAAGAAGAATGTGTGTGTAAATATACCGCATAAATTCTGAACAGAAGACAATTTATCTTCTGTGTTTTCCTTAAATCAAACAAGATATCCATGAGCACATATATTTCACATATGTTTTGAGAGTGGCATATGGCTACTTATTTGCTGTTGCGACCATCTTTGACTGTTATGTTTCAGATGTAACTTCATATGTCTTTTTCAAGGTCCAGTATTTCAATGATACAAAGAGTAGCAAATATTTCTAATTACCAGGTGCCTACAAAAAGCAAACAAACAAAAACAGAGAAGCAAAAATAAATCAGGACAAAAAGGAGGTTGTCAAGGAAGAATAAATATCTAGGAGACCAGTCACTTGTGTAAACGCTTATTGTACATTAAATCTTATATTGGGCCTTCAATTAATTGAGTACTGCCTGTGCTACTGATGGTGATATGTGAGATGCTGTTGGAAAACTCATAGCTGCTGCGAAGCATAGTAGTGTGATCCAAAGTGATACAGAAAACAGTAGGCACTCTGTCACTAGGTCAGCTGCAAGACGAAGTGACATGCACGAATCTACAGTATATGGGGTTTTGTGAAAGATTCAGTCTCTCTTTCTTCCAAAGAACTTTAGCTGATGATACAAGGGGAATTCAGTTCCCTTTGGCAGGACTCCGTGTTGGTCTGGATGCTGTAAATACTTCTGCTTCTACAATTACTTAGCTCATGCTGCTAAAAATATACTCATGACAGAGTTAATGAAAGTATTTCTTTTTTTTTTTTTTAAACACTTGTCAGCAACAATCATTTAATGTTCTTGCTTGCATGCGTGGTTCTCATTATTCAGATGTAGCTATTAATACTGATGAAAATTAAAGAGAGAAAATATTTTCATACTTGCACTTTCCCAGTAGCATTTAAAAACAAATGAAACACCAAAAGCTAAACAAGTACAAATATTCTTTTTTTTCTTTTTCTTTTTTCTTTTTTTCTTTTCTGTTTTCTCTTCTCTTCTTTCCTCTTCTTTCCTCTTCTTTCCTCTTCTCTTCTTTCCTCTTCTTTCCTCTTCTTTCCTCTTCTTTTCTTTTCTTTTCTTTTCTTTTCTTTTCTTTT